AGTTATAGTTTATCTTTAAGAGAAGTATAGTTTCATCTTATTTATTTATTTACTTATTCATATTTTTTGTGGTACTGGGGACTGAACCCAGGGCCTTGTGCTTACTAGGCAGATGCTCTACCACTGGTTATTTTGGAGATAGGGTTTGCTTTTTGCCCAGGCTGGCCTGAACCATGATCTTCCTATTTTATGCTTCCCCACACAGCTGGGATGACAGACATATGCCACTACCCCCAGCTTTTTTCTGTTGAGATGGGGGTCTCACAAACTTTCTTGTCCAGGTTTTCCTGAAAACATGAGCCTCCTGATCTCAACCTTCTATGTAACTGTATGCAGTATAATTATTTTTAATAGAAATATAAAGTATTTCTAAAATGTTTAAAATTGTGCTCTTAAATATGAATGTCAATCTTGTTTACAATACTCGCTTTCTTAGTAACCCCTTTTAATGACAGAAGTATTCATTGAGAATTCCTGTGTAAATAATGCAAGCTCATATGAGAGAAGTGCTTAAAACAATTTTAGAAAATATTTTTCGGACAAAGCGTGGAGCCTATACAGCTGTTCTATAATCACCAGTGTAAATTTAGCCAGCATTTTTTTCAAGCACTGTCAAGTGAGCATTTAATACTAGACAGTCACTGCTTATTCTACTGTACACAGAATGTCAGCTTAATTACCTGAAAGAATTACCTCATCTGATTTACCTGTAAGAAGGGCACTAAGTACTGGAATGAAGTCATCATTTTATGAAAGTGGGATCTTCACTGATTTTACAGGTTGGTTCTCTTTGTCACCTTTGCTTCACGAAGTACTTTTATGATCAGACTTCAGAGATATTATGTTTTTTTTTGTTATTCTACCCTCTGTCTACTTCCTGCTTCTCAGGCTCCTTTGTTCATTTTCTTTACTTTCCTGACCTCCAAGTTCTGGAGTATCCCAAGTCTCTGTCCTCAGATTTCTGGTATTTTCTGCTTAACTCATTCCCCAAATTGATCTCATCCTGTCCCCGGTCTGTAAATAATGTCTGAATAATGATGACTCCTCTCTTTTTCTCTCTTATCCTTCCTGCCCTTAGCAAACCTTAACCCAAGGCTCAGTTACTCAGCCTCCATTCACTGTCTCCATTGGATGTCTAAAAGTCATGGCTTCTAAAAAGTTGTATTTTAATGACTTCCTAATGAAAACCATGCTCTAGATTATAGGTTTTTTGACTCACTCCTCCAGTTTTTCCTACTGCCCAGGTAAATAACAACTAAATCCTTCCCTCAAGTCAGGAACTGTAGAATCACCCTTTAGGTCTTTCACTTTCAGTCTGTCCTACAGAGTATATCCAGGCTCTAACAACTTTTTCAACCATCCTGGTCCAAGACACCACTTTCTACTATCTAGAAATTTTTCTTTTAGTTTTTGCGGTGCTAGGGGTTGAACCCATAGCCTTGTGCATGCTAGGAAGGCATCTATTTCTGAGATTCATCCCCAGTTCTATTGTCTGGAAATTTTTTAATGGCTTACTAATCAACTTTCTAGCTTCCATCCATATCACACTGTATTTTATTCTCAATGTAGCATTCGGAATTATTCTTTTATAACTTGTCCAGTTTGCTCAATGGCTTCTCATTGGATAAAATGAAATTGTTAATATGCCTCTCTTTCTCTTTCCCTCTTCTCTGGTATTTTTCCCTATAAATTACAATTTTAGTCTCTTTGGCTGTGTCAACCCTGATCTCTGTATCCTTGATTTACTAATATCTACCAGGTCTCTGTGTGTTTTCCCTCCTTGCTTTGTGGCCTTGAAACTTCTGTAACAGTAAACAGGAGCAATAATAGAGCTCACCTCATCTCTTTTCTTTCTCTTGGGTTCTATTCTTCCACACTGTCAAGTTTGACAAAAATTTAGTTGTGAAAAGTCATGAATCTGCCCATAAATTAGCAAAATTTCCCTTTATAGATATTGATAGTGGTCTTAAACCATCTTTAATATTTGCATCATAAATATTCTTGAAAAGTTGATAAGGCATTCAAGTTAGTTATCCCTGTTGTATTCCAGATTTCATTTAAAATGAAATATAATCAAGATGTTTCCAAGTAACAGTAGGGAAAAATCCAAATATCTGATATGAATATCAGATCATTCATTCAATCAACAAATAATGAAAATTCAGAGATGACAAAGACATGTTTTTATTTGTTGGTTTTTGGTAAAAACTAGTTTATAAGGGAAAGCAGGCATGCATATGACCAACTATAATACAGTAGGCATAGTAGGATTTTATGATATCAATGTTAATTGAGGAATGTTGTAAAGTGCCATATAAACACAGAGAAGAGTGGGAAAGACAGGAAATTGAATTTCCTTTATGGAGTTCATCACCTTTTATCATCTGTTCCAACAGTACAGTTACCAACAGTGTGCTATGTTGTGCTAAGTTCTGATTCCTACTCTAGAAGAGAAGGACTAATGAACACTCACAATTTAGTACAGTAAAAGCTATGGCTGAGATAGCCATGAAAGAGAGTGATCAAGGAGTGCTTTTAGAGGAGACAAACCCCAAACAAGAAGAGGGCTTGCAGCAGAGAGCATCATAATTCAGAGAGTATCAGTAAATATGGCAAGAGCATGGATGTCAAACAGCAGCTCTGGGGGTAACAAGACTGCAGAGATAGGTAGGAGCCAGATCTTCAAGAGCTAGCTGTGTTCTGCTATGATGTTTCGATGTAAGTAGAAAACATTGGAAGATGTGTGTGTGTGTGTGTGTGTGTGTGTGTGTAAAATGAGAGGCAGTGATGATTTATGTTTTAGAAACTTTTCTCTGGTAATGAAGTGAAGGATGAGTGGAAGTAAGTGAAAATGGAAGCAAAGAGACCCATGACTCAGTAATCCAGGAAAGTAAATGATACAGAATTTCACTGAGGGAAGGAAGGAACTTCACTAGTGGAGGGCTGAGAAGGAGAGATTAAAGAGCGGGTCTGCAGAACCATGTGAGAGATCAATAAAAGATGTGGTGCCTACCTGGATATGAGGATGCTCAAGACAATTGAGTCTATGACATCCTCCAGCTTTCTGGTCCTTTGTACTAACTGTATTCATTAAGGGCTTTGATTTCTAAAAGAGGATCGCCTGCCCAGTGAGACACAAGGAAAGATAGAATTAAACTTATACTTTTCTCGGTTTTTTAAGATTTTTATTTGTTTTTATTTTCGAAAGAAGACAATAAACTTATACGGTATTATGTGTACATAATTTCAAATAAATTCTTAGAGCAAAGTGAAAATAGAACCATTTACCTTTTATTGTATAAAATCATGCACTTTGTTTTGTTATTTCCACACATGAAAACAAAGTATTTGGTCACACAACCCCATCACCTTTTGTTGTCTCCCTTTCACCCATTCCTTGGTCCACCCAAATAGTCCATTTTAGCTCATGTTTTTTTGTTTGATTGATTGATTCATTTTATGGATATATTCCACATATCAGAGAAAACATACAATATTTGTCTTTCTGATGCTGGCTAATTTCACTTAAGTGATGATCTTTCTAGTTCCACCCATTTTCATGGAAATGACATAATTTTATTCTTTTTATTATACCTGAATAATATTATATTGTGTATATATACCACATTTTCTTTATCCATTCATTGGTTGATAGGCATCCAGGCTGATTCCAAAACTTGGCTGTTGTGAGTTGCGTCACAAAATACATGGGGGTGCAGGGTGCAAGCCTCTATTGTATGCTGACTTACTTTCCTTCAGATCTGTGTCCAAGAATAGTATAGTATAATGATATGGAAGCTGTAATTTTAGTGTTTTGAGACCCTCCATACAGATTCCCATATTGGCTACACTAAGTTACATTCTTACCAGTAATGTGTAAAGGTTCCTTTCTCCTTGCATCCTCGCCAGAATTTGTTGTTGTTTGCTTTCTTGATGATAGCCATTCCGACTGGGGTGATGTTCTTTTAATTTGCATTTCCTTTGTGGTTAAGAATGTTAAATATTTCTTCATGTGTTTGTTAGCCATTTCTACTTCTTTTGAAAACTGTTTCATTCATTTGCCTATCTATTAGTGGAGTCATTTATTCTTTTGGTGTTTAATTTTCTGAGCTCCTTGTATGTTCCTGATATTAATCCCTTCTCAGATGAATAGCTGGCAAATATTTTCTCCCATTCTGTAGGTTGTCCCTCTACTCTGATAATTGTTTCCTTTGCTGTGTAGGAACTTACATTAATATGTTTGATTCACTTTAAATTAATTTTTGTAGAGTGAGAAACAGGTCTACTTTCAGTTTTCTTCGTGCCAATGTCCAGTTGTCATAGCATCATTTGCTAAAGAGGCTGTCTTCCCTCCAGTATCAGCATTGCATTCTCAAATATTTTGTTGCTAGTGCCATGTGACCAAAAACTCAGGGATTCTTGTGATGAAAAAAAGTAAATTTGGAGGTTCTGTGGAATCTGTGGACCTTGTAGACCATTCAGTCAGTAATTTCTACTCCAAGTAATTTCTAAACTGCCAACAGAGCTGTCTGTGATCATGGCAGTGCTCTTTCTCTCCATATGCACTGTCTAATATGGTATCCGGTAGTCACATATGGCTTGAGGACTGGAAATATGGCTAGTGTAAATGAGACACCGAAATTTTTCATTTTTAAAAATTTTAATATGTTTGGGTTTAAGTAGCCAAGTGGAGCTAATGGTTACAGTATTTGAAAGCACAGATCTAAAAGTTAGGAGAGAGCTCTCAGACTTTATTAAGTGTTTTCACTGACTAAGCATTTTATATACATTTTAAAGCAATGTAGCATCCCAACTACCCTGTGCAATATGAATTATTAAGAAAGAAAAGAGTAACTTTATTTTACCTTTTTAATAGTAAAAGATTAATTGTAAAAAAGAGCACATTTATTTTGACACATGTATACTTTCTAAATGTTTTCTGATGTTATGTATTTATTCATCTTTTACAACCAAGTAACACTTTTATATTTTTCTTTTAGGTGGTTTGCTTTGTTAGAGATTCAAATATGTATCATTTTAATACTTTATAAATATGACTGTAGTCTTCTGGACCCATTGCCAAAACAGGTAAGTGTTTTCAGAATTTTGAATATCATCATGACTTTCAGATCTGACATAAACTCTAATGAACCTTTTCGTTTTAAATATTAGCAATGAGTTGACTGATTCTCTCATTCTGGCCTGATATGAACATGTGCCTTAGATGGAACTAGTCTAAGAACACACTTGTTCCCCTTAATTCAGGATCTAATCTCTGTGACCTATTACTGCATGGCTAGGACCTAATAGAAGTGTTTCTACCAATTCCAATTAGTACTGGAACTAGGATTCCTCAAAGGATTTAACAGTTTTTCTTATCCCTAGGTTAGATAACATGACCTTAACTTCAACCTTGTTCCCCTAGAAAGGAATGTCTTCTAAGGGTCCAAAAGTGAACTGTTTGGATGCAAATCATAGCCTTTGGAAATCCATGGCATGGAAGGAAACCAGACCCCTAGGAAAAAACAGTGAGCAGAAATGAAAAGGCCCTGACTTTATTCCTTCCTCTGACCATTGAGTATTCTGATCATTTAAACCCTCCGTAGGTCTGCTGTACTGTACCAGTGTTGTGAGCATCAGAATCTTTGAGGGCTTGCCATACTGACTGCTGAGCCTCATCCCTTAAGCTCCTATCCAGTAGTTCTGCAGAGAGGTTCCGGAGTTTGCATTTCTAACATTCCAGAGGCTGTTGCTGCTCCTGGTCTAATACCACACGTGAAAAACTACTGTCATAAGAAATAAGGAGAAGTTCAACTTAATTACAAATGTGTGGAGGTCATTTTGAAAACTCAGGATAAAAGGTGCTATTGAAATGAGCTGAAGTTCACAAATTAAGTATCACAATATCAAGGCTATTCATACAACACTTGGTGCTTTGATTTACTCTGACTATAATAAAGCTTATATATGAAAAACATATAAAATTCTTAGGTGATATTTCAGTGACAATTATGTAAGTGTATAGGTGACACAGAAAATATTACAGACATGCATACTTCAACACTTGTCATTGATTTATTTCCTACTTCTATTTTGAGTACAAATAACTATCAATAATGAAGAGTTCTCAGAATCTTACAGTGAAAGGGAATGCAAAACACTCTTCACAAATATTCTCAACTGCCTATCATGTTGGCCAAATGAAATCAGAACCAGGCTTTGCAGACCCCAAGTACTATTTCCTTCTCCACCAAGTTAGATGTCACAATTTGGTCCAGGACTGACAACATTCTTGTATTTCTTTTCACCAATAAGAAGACACAGAAGTGCTTGCCTATTCATGTGAAAAAGATGACATTTGTTAATGCCACTGATGTTGGTAATTTTGAAAAGCTCCTTAGGCATGAGTTCTACTAGCACTTTCTGCCTAAAATTCTTTTAAGCCAGGTACCAATGACCCATGCTTATAATCTTAGGTACTTGAGAAGCTGAGATTCAAAGGATCATGGTTTGAGGTCTGCCCAGGCAAATAGTTTTCAAGACCTCTTCTCCAAAATAGCTAGAGCAAAATGGACTGGGCGTGTGGTTCAAATGGCAGAGTGCCCACTTTGCAAGCATGAAGTCCTGAGTTCAAACCTTAGTCCCACCAAAAAAAATAATTTTTTAGCTATATTTAATTTCTTATACTGCTGCATCTTATCTACATCCTTTTTTGTTTGTTTGCTTGATTTGTTCTGTTTTTTTTTTGTCAAGGTCTCGCTATGTAGCCCAGGTTGTACTCACATTCATGATATAGCACAGGTTAGCCTTGAACTCATGATCCATCTGCCTCAGCCTCCAGAGTGCTAGATTATAGACATGTGCCCCCAAACCTGTGTGTGTCCATGTTATTTATGTTTTAACATCACTAAGCACATTGTTTAAACACATGTTTTCTCAGTTTTTAAAATATACAGGTCAAAGTAAAATCCCATGATCTCGAAGAGCACTCCATTATATAATTGTTATTCTAGGAAGAGAAAGATCTGTTGAAATTATGTGATTATAGGAATTATTTTAATAAATCATAAAGTGAGTTGCTCAAAAAAATGTAGGAAAAGACCATGAAATTATCATTTCTTTTAGAGAGTGTAGGGCATATCCTAAAAACTCTATAGTCAAGTGTAGGGAAATCATGGGTTTGGAAACCCACACCCCCATAGGAATTTACTTGCCATATCAAGTAAACACTAGGTCCCTCAGTTTTCATTTTAAAACAGTGCAGTGTTTTATTTATTTATTTGAGGTATTGAGGATTGAACCAAAGGCCTTCTGCATGCTAGGCAAGGGCTCTATCACTCACTAAGCTACCACCTACCCCCAGTGTTTTCTTTTACCTCAACAGGTCTTAAGAAATTAATTTAATTTAAATTCCCTCCCATTATGAACCAAATCATATGGAAATACTACAGACCTTTTAAGAATCCACATTGGCACCACTGTTCTGATGCTATGGGAGTTATTCCATTTTGAGTATTCATAAAACAATGTTAAGCACACTTGTTTGTTTTTTGTCCCATTTTCAGTTTTTTGGGTCATGTGTTCTTAGAAATCTCACAAAACTTATGAATCTCCCTTTCAGAAAAGTGCATATTTCTTCACTTTAAATTGTGGGTACAATTTCAGGGAGTTCATGGGAACCCTGCAACTCATTCTATCAACTCTCCCCAAGAATCTCCTAGCTAAGGAGCCCATTCTGTGCCATTGTGTTCACACTTGAAAACAGACTGAGTATCTAGATTGGATCTGCCTCCTTTTCTCATTCTTCACCAACTCCAGTTCTCAAGGTTGACAGAAGAGGTTGCTTTTGTTTTTCAAACTGCTAAGCCTCGAAAATCTTTTCCTGTTTTTAGCAATATGCTGAGCTTCCCCATATCCCCTCAATATTCAGACTTTTTTAATGAGGGAGAAAAATCACAACATTTGGAATCCACAAAATGTCCTTTTGGAAAATCATGATCACAGGTACCTTAGAATTATGGCTCACATTACCAACTCCAGGTAGTCATTTAAACACCTATCATATGTGCCATAGCATTCTGAGCCAGCAATCAATAATAAATGAGGTGTCACAGAACAAAAATCCAGAAATGTAGAAAGAGCTCTATTTATAGTAGTCTCTTTAGCCAGGTAAAGTGAAGGGTAGGCAGACCCATAAGCATGGGATGTAAGAAACTGTGAAGAGATTGTCATTAGAATAATATATTTTCAAATAGATAAAGAAACTGTCAAAATATCCCTGTTTGCAGATGACATGATCCTATACCTTAAAGACCCAAAAAACTCTACTCAGAAGCTCCTAGACATCATCAATAGCTATAGCAAGGTAGCAGGATATAAAATCAACATAGAAAAATCATTAGCATTTCTATACACTAACAATGAGCAAACGGAAAAAGAATGTATGAAAACAATTCCATTTACAATAGCCTCAAAAAAAATCAAATATCTAGGTGTAAACCTAACAAAAGATGTGAAAGACCTCTACAAGGAAAACTATACACTTCTGAAGAAAGAGATTGAGGAAGACTATAGAAAGTGGAGAGATCTCCCATGCTCATGGATTGGTAGAATCAACATAGTAAAAATGTCTACACTCCCAAAAGTAATCTACATGTTTAATGCAATTCCCATCAAAATTCCAATGACATTCATTAAAAGATTGAAAAATCTACTGTTAAATTTATATGGAAACACAAGAGGCCACGAATAGCCAAGGCAATACTCAGTCAAAAGAACAATGCAGGAGGTATCACAATACCTGACTTCAAACTATATTACAAAGCAATAACAATAAAAACAGCATGGTACTGGCACAAAAACAGACATGAAGACCAGTGGAACAGAATAGAGGACCCAGATATGAAGCCACACAACTATAACCAACTTGTCTTTGACAAAGGAGCTAAAAATATATGATGGAGAAATAGCAACTTCTTCAACAAAAACTGCTGGGAAAACTGGTTAGCAGTCTGCAAAAAACTGAAACTAGATCCATGTATATCACCCTATACCAAGATTAACTCAAAATGGATCAAGGATCTTAATATCAGACCCCAAACTCTTAAGTTGATACAGGAAAGAGTAGGAAATACTCTGGAGTTAGTAGGTATAGGTAAGAACTTTCTCAACGAAACCCCAGCAGCACAGCAACTAAGAGATAGCATAGATAAATGGGACCTCATAAAACTAAAAAGCTTCTGTTCATCAAAAGAAATGGTCTCTAAACTGAAGAGAACATCCACAGAGTGGGAGAAAATATTTGCCAACTATACATCAGACAAAGGACTGATAACCAGAATATATAGGGAACTTAAAAAACTAAATTCTCCCAAAACTAATGAACCAATTAAAGAAATGGGCAAGTGAACTAAACAGAACTTTCTCAAAAGAAGAAATTCAAATAGCCAAAAAACACATGAAAAAATGCTCACCATCTCTAGCAATAAAGGAAATGCAAATTAAAACCACGCTAAGATTCCACCTCACCCCTGTTAGAATAGCCATCATCAGCAACACCACCAACAACAGGTGTTGGCGAGGATGCGGGGAAAAAGGAAACCTCTTACACTGTTGGTGGGAATGTAGACTAGTACAACCACTCTGGAAAAAAATTTGGAGGCTACTTAAAAAGCTAGACATCAATCTACCATTTGATCCAGCAATACCACTCTTGGGTATATACCCAGAAGACTGTGACTCAGGTTACTCCAAAGGCACCTGCACACCCATGTTTATTGCGGCACTATTCACAATAGCCAAGTTATGGAAACAGCCAAGATGCCCCAGCACTGACGAATGGATTAAGAAAATGTGGTATCTATACACAATGGAATTTTATGCAGCCATGAAGAAGAACGAAATGTTATCATTTGCTGGTAAATGGATGGAATTGGAGAACATCATTCTGAGTGAGGTTAGCCTGGCCCAAAAGACCAAAAATCGTATGTTCTCCCTCATATGTGGACATTAGATCAAGGGCAAACACAACAATGGGATTAGACTATGAGCACATGATAAAAGCGAGAGCACACAAGGGAGGGGTGAGGATAAGTAAGACACCTAAAAAATAGCTAGCATTTGTTGCCCTTAATGCAGAGAAACTAAAGCAGATACCTTAAAGCAACTGAGGCCAATAGGAAAAGGGGACCAGGAACTAGAGAAAAGGTTAGATCAAAAAGAATTAACCTAGAAGGTAACACCCACGCACAGGAAATCAATGTGAGTCAATGCCCTGTATAGCTATCCTTATCTCAACCAGCAAAAACCCTTGTTCCTTCCTATTATTGCTTATACTCTCTCTACAACAAAATTAGAAATAAGGGCAAAATAGTTTCTGCTGGGTATTGAGGGGGGAGGGAGAAGGAGGGGGTGGAGTGGGTGGTAAGGGAGGGGCTGGGGGCAGGGGGGAGAAATGAACCAAGCCTTGTATGCACATATGAATAATAAAAGAAAAAGAAAAAAAAAAGAATAATGTATTTTTCTCCTTTTCTGCTCCTTGAATAGAAGGCTAAAGGTGATGTTTAATGCTGTGAAACTCCTCAATGCAAACACTTACCAGCCTTCAAAACCTTTACTCTGGAGTACTTAGAAAAAAATACAACTGAATAAGTCTTAAGTCAAAAACTTTTGGCTTATATCTCTTAATTTCCGTATTTCCTCTGCATTTCTGCTTTTAGAGTGATCTTCATTTGGTGGGTGTCCCCAAGCCAGAAGGACAATGCAAAATTGAATATAAACAAAGAATATGACATCACCGGGGTTCCAGGGGACCAGGGACATCTGGAGGAGTGATGTTACCCCATCCACTAACCTGGCAGCACTGCAACCTGAAAATGTCCAAGTGGTATATGTGTTTGGTATCTTCAGGAACCAAGAATTTGACATCACTCTCCAGTGGTACAGAAACCAATATATGGTTTATGGAAAATGCTTAAATGACTTTAAAAAAACATGTTTAAGGTCTGGGGGCATGGCTCAAGTGACAGAGTGCTTTCCTAAGCATGAGCCCTGAATTCAAACCCCAGTACCATCCAAAAATGTTTTTAGGAAATTAGAACTTAGTTTCACACATAACTGTGTTAAAACTTCAGGTAAAAATATTGTCATTTGGATGGAAATCTTAGTATATTTCATTTGCTGTGAAGGCAACATAAAGACTAAAGTCTTAGACACCAAAAAATTAAATGATTTCTAGAAATGTTCTATTTTTTAATATGATTCTTAACTTGAAATTGGAATTCATTGCTCTATTAATATAATTCTTTATTATAACCATGTCTAATACTAAAAGTGTGAATGAAATAATATTTTTCTAAGACCCATAAGGACAGGAATCATGCCTTGCACTCACTTTTACACTCTGTTAGACCTAGGATACCCTCTTCTCCGCAGGGAATATTTAATGAATGTATGTTGATTGATGTATTGATTTGTATTTTAATTAAGATGGAAGTATTCTTTTGACTCAAGGTGTTTATAATTATAGTTCAAGAGAGATAATATTTCTGCTAATGTGTAGGAACACATGTATCATGTGTTCCCCAGGAAAATAACTGCATTTGAATTATTATGGAAGACTTACAAGTAAGAAATAGTGTCCAAGAAACACAGTAAAGAAAACCTAGCATATTGAAGGGAAAGTATGACACTAATCATAGAGCGAACAGTGATGTCATGACTTGTCCTCTAATTTTCAATAAATGCTGCTCGCCTCTTTACTCCACAGTATGCTCTGGAGTACATAGCTCCTGGCTCTTATTTGCTAGAATAATCTCATGGGGTTGATAATGATTGCTTAGTCATCTATTCCCTACCAACAAGCTCATGACTTCCCAGGAGAAAGCTAAGTGCTTTAAGGAGAGGTATTAACTCTTCCAGACAAATGTAGTGACTTTGAAGCTTAGCTAGCAGCTCATAGCTTTGCTTAGCCAGCTCAGGAGCCTCAAGCCTGGAGGGGCTGAAGAAGCAATTACAAAGCCCGCAAGGGCTCTGAGAGTTGCAGACCACAACCTGGACAGCTTATACTAAATATGGCAGCTGTATTCTGAGGGAGACATGTCCTCCCAAACAGCCTAGGCCCGTGATGACTGTATTTGCATGCAATGCCCACTTCTGCTAAAACATACTCCTTGGAGAAAGTGTTTATCTGCTTATTCTTGCTTGGCAAGAATGCATGTTGGCTGATGAGCCTATACACTTGAAAAAAGAATGCAGACTCAGGAGATCTGTTGACCTTTGAAATAATGAATTATTAAAAGGAACATTCTTGGAGTTCCCATGTTTCTTTTCTCCTAGCCTGGGGTTTTATATTATAGATATTTCTTAATTATCTATAATTATTAAGAATTATTAATTATGATAATATAAACTCATCCATTGATGGGATTTTCCTGAAAGCAGAGTCTGAGACAGATGTGTGTATAGATACAGCAAGCCCATCTTCTTCATGAATTTATTTTACACAGTTTTGACCAAGTAGGGTCAAAATAATAATAAATTAAAAAATCAAAAGAAATTTCACAACCAAAAGATTTTTAATTCCCACACGAGCATTCTGCAGCTGAGTTGATGCAGAGAAGCTCTTAGTCAGTCCTGCATTATTGGCAGTTGTGTTTAAATCGTTGTGTGATCTGCTGAGTATTTCCCGACTCATAATTTTGTGACAGTCTGCTTCCCCCGAAACAAATAGCACTCAGAAAGCAAGGTAAAAATTAGTGTGCTTAATTGAAGTGATAAAGTAAAAATTTTAGATTTGTTGAAAGGTGGCATTTCTTTAGTGGAAGTTGGGCACCATTATGGGGAAAATGCGTCAAGCATCCACAGTACAGTACTGAACTCTGCATTCTGAGCATTTGTGGTTTTTCCTCAACCATGGTCATCTTGGAACCATATATCCATGGATACCAAGGGTCTACTGCAGTTTATTTGGGAGGTGCTCCCAGGCAGCAAAAGTAGGAAATAAAGGAGAGAATAAGCCAAAAGAGTTATGCTATTCAGGTATGTGTTGTAGCACTGGGAGTTCAAGTTCACTGGGACCACCTGAGAAGGATTTACAGACCTCCCAGAATTGCTTACCTTCAGGATAAGAGGTAGGAGCAACTGTTGACTGGCTTCTGTTCCCATTGACTAATGGGTTCTCCTAGGGATGTTAACCTGCACTTCATATGACGTGTGGGGGGGGGGATTAAGTGTGTGTGGTTTTCGTAGAGAAGCTCTAGAGAAGTCAGCATAAAGTGAGTCTGAACTTGCATGGGTTCACTGAGTTCTGTGAAACGATGTTGGGCTGAGGCGATGTGACATGGGGTACCAGAAACATGTGATACACTCCTTTCCCTGCACCACTCAGATTCACTCATGCTCCACTTTAATTCAGATCCAGTACTGTATCTTCAAAGTGGCAGCTGCCTCAGGAAGCCCTGTAAAATTTAGCCTAAAGCTGCCTTCATGCATATGTTGTCTTAAAGTTTCCTTCACACATACTGAACAATAATCTAACGTGTGTGGATTGACTGTAACCTACTCTTGAAACAAGTAGCTGAACCTTAGCCAATCAATGGCCAAATGTATAAACCATATTCAAATAAGGCAGGTGCAGGCTGTAACCAGTTGGGCTCTGTACCTCACTTCCGTTTTCTACATGTCACTTTCTTTTCTTTGGCTACAAATATAACCTGCCAATGAGATGGGGTGCAAGTCTGTGCATTTTTGAGTCCATACTATTGCCAGGTTCTAGAATCACAAATAAAGCCAATTAAGAGCCTCAAAATGAGATTTGTTGTAATTTTCCCTTCTAATAGCTCTGGTGAGCATATGAATGGGTCAGAAAGAAACTGCTGATGATTCATGAGACTCCTGGAGGAAGGCAGGGGAGGCAGTGATGACTTTTGGAGTTCCTCTGCCTTCCTCATGGAGCCCAAGAGTTGTGCATAAGTTACTCTTGGCAGGACCATGCTCCACTTAAATTGAGGACCCTTTTGACTTTTGAATCAATCTGGGATTTCTTTGCACTATGAGAGACCACATGACCATTGGAAACTACAACAGAGACTGGAGTGGGTCCAAGAACACACTGGATCCCATAAGTAGCTGGAATGGATCCAGTAGGAAGCCTCAGGTGTCTGACTGGGTCAGGCAGAAACTGGCTGTAAATAGCAATTACTGTGGAAGTACAAACTCTGCCTTTCAGAAAATTTCAGGGATTTCATGCTCTATCCTCTTTACTTTATTTTCATGTGCACATAGGTAGAAGAAAAACTATTTAAAACCTGTCAAAGGAAGAATCTTAATGAAAATCACCTGTCTGTATGTGTGGATTATCTACATGTGTTTGTGGGATGTGTATGTGGTATTTCCACCAAAATACATAAAAGAGTTCTATTCAATTTACTTAAAGAAAAATAAATACATAAGAATTAAAATGCTTGAGTTGAGTCATTAATTATAACACAAACTTTTTAAAGCCTAGATTTACTAGTTAAACAAGCTTGCTAATCAACTTGATATACAAGGCCATGTGGTTGTGGGTATAGCCTAGGGGTAGAAATGCACAATGAGAGTGAGTTGCTTGGTGCATATGAGTTGTGAGAGAGAAAAAAAGAAAAAGGGAATCATGTTTGACTTTTGGCTTTTTAGTGGCTTTGCCTCTGTGATATTTTTGATACTTGCTTGATTGGTCAATGAATTGAGACTGGGAGCCAGCTGCTAGACTCCCCCACACGATGCATCTTGCATGAGACTGTATCTTTCGCTTGGATTCTCTGTGGTCTGGATAGGTAGTCAAGGTGAAACATAGGGACACGTATGTTTCTGTGGTATCTGGACTGCAAGCCAATGGTACAGCAAGGCCAGAAAAGGTCCCCTCTGTTTGCTCTGGCCCAGCTCTGCCTCCTGGCCATGACAGGAAGGGTCAGATCCTCTAGGCATCATTTTCACAGCTGCCTTTTCTCTGTCTTGGGCTTTGCACCTAGTATGTGAGTCCAGTACCAAGACAGGCCCTTTAGAGCCTGGGTACCATGTATAGTAGCAGGTAACATGTGAGTGACTGGGATCCTGGGCAACTGGGGTGGGAACCTAGAGGAGGGCCTCTCAGAAGCCGTGGTCAGAACTAGGCTAATGGAGTTTAATCTTGGTTGTGATGCTTTAAAAGAAAAATAAAATGTTGTCTAAAACTTATATCTGCTTTATTTTCCATAAGCAATTCAAGCATAATTGTCAAACTGAGTAAATTACATGATTATATGTATCACAAACATTTATAAATTAACTTCACACTTCAAAATTCTTTGTGGTAACTTGAGACCCTAACATGAAATTACATAATAGATACTCATTAGAGGTCTGAGTCATTTCTAAATTAGCTAAAATATTAAAATGGTAATTACTAAGCATATGTTTAAAGTTTATATATTTTGGCATCTTGTTTTGTATTGTGTAGAGTAGCTAAATATATTTGGGCCTGTTAATGAAAAAATTGTGTCATAAAGAAATATGTTTATAAAAATTATGAAAAATGCCACTATAGACAATTCAGAATATTTACAATTCAAAATACTTGATACTTAGGTTTTTACTAGAAACTAAGGTGGCTAAGGATTAAAATTCTAATTAGTATATGGTAATTAAAACTAGAGATAATAGAGAAACAGGGAATCTAGGGTGTGTTTTTAATTGATAGGTATTCATTGTGCAGAGGGTTTTCATTGTGATTTTTCCATCACACATACATACTTTGATTACATTCACCATCTCT